CGTTTGTGTGCTCGTTTGTGTGCTCGTTTGTGTGCTCGTTTGTGTGCTCGTTTGTGTGTGCTCGTTTGTGTGCTCGTTTGTGTGCTCGTTTGTGTCCGTGAACATCAAACAACCCCGTACACTTTTGGATTTTGAAACAAAAGACAGTGTTCTTATATTGCCAGCCTTAACTTAACTCAGGCATAGTCAAATGACACTTGGTACAAACTCTGTTGTGCTGAGGTTGGGACCCTTGCATTGACGTACAAAATCACCCAGAGTCAACACCAAATCCCCTCAGAAGCCAGAAGCTACAAAATGGACTCTGTGTGTGTGTGTGTGTGTGTGTGTGGTTGTATGATCCAGCCGCCCGGCAGTTGCTCATTCCTAACTCTCTTGTATAATTTTGTGTGTGTGTGTGTGTAGAGGGTGTTGTGTCTTACAAAACCACCCAGTATCAGTACCAAATCACCTCAGAAACAAAAGCGACAAATGATGGAGTGTGTGTGTGTGTGTGTGTGTGTGTGTGTGTGTGTGTGTGTGTGTGTGCTTTCACGATCCAGCCACCTGGCAGGTGCTGGCTTCGAAATCTCTTGTGTATAATGGTTTGCAGCTGTGCATCATTGTTGCTCTGGTATTGGTCTTTGTAATCTGTCTGATCCTCTCAGCGGTTGGTGTATCTGAATTTTGTCGCAGAGGGAACATTCCATGCATTGGCAGACTACTACGAGTTTGACAACAACAACAAGCGTCTTAATCCATGTCTTGCTCCACAACATGAGGCTGTCGAATGCGAGACGCTGGGTCAGACTTCTAATGCATCGGTTGTTCAATTGTAAGAGCAACTTCCCTTGCTTCGCTTCCCACCATCATACTAGGATTGAATTGTGCCGATGTGGTATTCTGATGGCGCCCCTATGGACCAGCTCTGTGTGAGGTCGCCGTGAACCGCAACTAATGCTGTGGAGAGAAGAGTTGTAAAGCTGTATTTCTTTTCGAGGAAAGCCGTATGTCTTTTTGAGGAAAGCTGTATGTCTTTTTGAGGAAAGCTGTATGTCTTTTTGAGGAAAGCTGTATGTCTTTTTGAGGAAAGCTGTATGTCTTTTTGAGGAACAAGTGGACCCGCCGCAGTGCAGGATGATGGCAAAAACATTTTGCGAAACACCCCAGCCATCAGTTGGACCCCATCTTTGCAATGTACCCCTAGTGGACGCTGCCCAACTTTGCAAAATGGGCCGGCAGTCGGCAAGTTTTCGTAGGTGCAATTGCAAAAGGCCAAGCAAATTTGCACACGCACCTGACAGGGGCATAACACAAACATGTCAGTCCAAAAAGCCATTCCAACTGTGTGTGTGTGTGTGTGTGTGTGTGTGTGTGTGTGTGAGAGAGAGAGAGAGAGAGAGAGAGAGAGAGGGGGGGGGGGGGGTGTCTGATTCATTCGGATTTTGTTCATCCTATCGATGGAAGTAGCCTCTCTCTATCCCTCTGCGTGCATGGCTGGAAAAGTCTCTCTCTCTCTGTCTCTCTGTCTCTCTCTGTCTCTCTCTGTCTCTCTCTGTCTCTCTAACACAGACACACACACACACACACACACACACACACACACACCGCAGCTGGCCTCACGCTACTTCCATCGATAGGATGAGCAAAATTGAATGAATTTTCTGCTAGAACATCGAAATATACAGTACTACATGTGTGTGTGTGTGTGTGTGTGTGTGTGTGTGTGTGTGTGTGTGTGTGTGTGTGTGTGTGTGTGAGAAGAGGTTAACAGAGCCCTAAATTTTCAGGATTTTTTCAGGGTCATTATAACAAACGTCCCATACCTCTTATGCCAGACTTGTCACCAGTCCATACAGTGGACACCAAATAAACCAACAGCAAAAAAATAAAAACAAAAAATTGATTAAAGGGGCCTTGAACCCCAAGGCAAAAGTGTGTTTTCATGCAAAATTCATTCTTTTCAGTTTTCAGGATTTTCAGGATTTTTCAGGGCTGGCCAAAATAGTGAACTCCAAGACCCCAACAAACACCAAACTTGGCACACACAGACCTTGACCAAAAATAAAACAGGGCAAAAAAGAAAAACCAAAAAAAACTGGAAAAAATGATCTCCAATGCACTTTTCAGGGTTGGGGGTGTTACCTTGGGGCTGAATAGTGGGGGTCCCTGTTAACCTTTGGTGAACGATATAGAGAAGATTAGTATGACCCCTGTGCATAAAAAAAAAAAGTAGAAAAGTTTTTCTTTAGCTCTCCCAGGAAATGGTATTCATGCTGATTGTAGAGTTTGCCGTCTTGTGCAGCATGCTCCCAAGGAGGCTGCTCCCGAGAAGAATGCTCCGCGAAAGGAATGCTACGCAGCCAAAGGAGATAAATGAAAGACTGAATGGATTCTCTTACATGAGACAATTGTAAGTTTTACTTTGGCAACTCGGCAGCTCCTTTCCCAGTTCCGTTGCTCTATCCGTAAACCCTAAACTCCCCATCAGTGGGGCCATCAGTGCGCCCCCAGAATCCCCTTAAGCTGACATTCCCAATGCCTATGTCAATCACAAACCCTGAACCTCTCGCTCTAAATCGTACCCCCCCCTGGTGACATCTGTAACTGTCTCTGAACCTCCTGAAGTAACCCTGGTTTCCGTAACCCTAAATCCCCAAACCGCAGACTATCACAGCTTGTTTTCAATGAGCTGAAATCTGTTGAAATTTGGAAAATGCAAAACTCCAAATTCCGAAAGATTCAAAAGAAGTGGCAAAAAAAGAAAGGAAAAGAAAAAAGAAAAAAAGAAGAGTGGCATATTGGCAATGGTGAGCTCAGTCTTGGCAGCTTAGCGGTAGTGAGAGGCCTTTTGGTTCTGCTCTTTGGCCTCAAGAATTTCCGAATTTCCGAAGTGAAATTTTGGCGGCTGGAGATCAGATAGGCTGGGCAGAGGCCCAGTGAGAGGGCTGCTACAGGTCTGATCCTGGTCCTTTTCGGCATCGCCAGGGACTCGGACGAGGCCAGATATACACCACATCTGGGGTTCGGCGTTTTTCCGAAGGGATGATGCCTTGATGGCCTTGAGATACTGCCCACCCCAGGTCGGTCCGAAATATTATGGAATTGATTTCGATTTTCATTAATGCCGCCCTGCCCTATCACCACCCATACTATACGCAGCGCGAACAGCTATGGCACCAGCGACTGCCTACGCTGCTCCTGGCGAACTCTTCAGCTGGTCATCAGAAGAAGTGGGACAGAACTCTGCCGCGTCATGGTGGATGGGTAGTTTAGCCTAGAGTCCTCCCGGACGTCTGTTAAAATTGGAACGATACATAGAAGATTAGCATGGCCGCTGCGCCGTGATAACAAACATAAATCGAGAAGTGGTCTATAAATTAAAAAAAGAAAAAATAATAATAGTCAAGCCTAGAGCACGCAATGGCATAGAAAGTCACCCCCGCTGGTTAGAGACGTAAGGGGCAAGTCCATAACCACTGCTTTGTTGTTGTATTGATTGGTCGGAGGCGAGAAGAGGGCTCCCGTAATCAAGACCCGTCAGTGCCGTGTATAAAAAAGGGAAAGAAAAATGGAAAAAAGAAAATGTGAGTTCCACTCTTGATTTCGATTCTGAGATCCAATTTTGAGTCTTGATATCTGAATTCGATCATCACTCTTGTTTTGTCTGGGGGTCCACTGAATTCCTGAAATTGGTCCTGAAGTCCGGGACTGAATTTCACATATCCGCTGTCTTTTCAAGTAGCCTACTTTAACGCCGGGCTAGCCCTTCAGGTAACTGCACCCAATTCTGCTTGGGTTATAGGACGGTACAACTTGTCTCAGCTATGTCATCAAGGTTGTTCGGTCCAGTGCGTAACCTATGCCGGCCTCCAACCCAGCGCCTACAAGGTGGAACTCAGGCATCCAAGCATGTGAGCTAGCTCTCGGAGACAGAGGGTTTAAGGTTTACAGGTGATTCGCGCCTGGTAAGTGAACGGGTGCATGACTTAGCAGAAGAAGGAAGCCCGGATACATTGAAGAAAAACGAAAAAAGGAAAAAGTAAAAAGGAAGCATGGATACGTGGAAAAAATGAAGCGTTGATAGGTGGAAAAAAAGAAGCGAGGATACGTGATAAGGGAGCCCACGACTACGGGTGTATGTGCCAAGCTTGTTTATTATAAGCCAAGTTTAGAATGAATCTCTACTATTTTTCGGCGGCACAAGTCAGATTCTTGCTTGTCAGCCAAAAGTTCGACTGCTTTACGGCAGCAGTCATGGAGCAATGTCTGGGAGAAAAGTGAGCAGATATTTTAGAATCTGTGTTGAGTTTTGAGATGGCACGTAAACTGGCCTTGCCTTTTTGAGTCTATGGAGAAGAATCAGAGTCTGAGGAAAGCGTGTGTCGGAAATAAATCCAGGCCGACAGGAACAGATGCAAAGGGATTTCAGAATGCAGTGCACGTCACTGAGCGATACTGATATGAAGATGCTGAACGCCACGCCACTTGCCAACGATGATATGAGGCTAATATCAAGATAAGTGTGTGTGTGTGTGTGTGTGTGTGTGTGTGTGTGTGTGTGTGTGTGTGTGTGTGTGTGTGTGCGTTTTCTAACAGCAGGATTATACACACACCAAGGTTTAAGAGTGTGTGTGTGTGTGTGTGTGTGTGTGTGTGTGTGTGTGTGTGTGTGTGTGTG